ATCCACCTGGGATTTCCTGCCCAGGAGCAATCAGCATTTCGAAACAGCCGCTAACGAGGCTGTCAAGGTCAGTTCAACGAGATATCAGCACTTCTCTCTGGGGTTAAATCATCAGAATGTTTGTGAGCACTGAGAGATGCCTGGAATTAAAATATCAGCATTTCTCTCTGAGGTTAAATCATCAGAATGTTTGTGAGCGCTGAGAGATGCCTGGAATCCAACAAACTGTTTGTCTTAGCATTTCTTCCATACTGGCACAACTCCCTTGGCTCTAATATTAAATAATTATTACTACCAATAAATTATGATGCTGTAAGAAGAGGCTTTGTGGGGTTTTTGTCCTGGGTTTTGGGTAGATCTCCACATGGACCTGCACTTTAGCATGAGCTCCCTGGGGATTGATTTCCCATCCTTTACTCCCAGTGTCACCTCACCCTGCCAGGAATGCTCCTGAGGGATGGCATTTTTAAAATATACATAATTTCTACTGATTCTGCAAAAATTCCAACTGTTTTCACCTTTCCTCAGAACTTCCTATGGATTTTATTTTGTCCCAATCCCCTCCATGCCAGGCAGAAATGAGTTCAGACTGTGCCAAGGGGGCAGAAGCCTTTTCTGCAAAGCTGCAAAGATTTTTAAAATAAAATAAATAATGAAAGACTAATTCTAGAGAAAAAATAGAACTCTTTATTTTCTTACAAAACTGCCTAGAAATATTCAGATAATGCACAAAAATTGTTTTATACAATTGTTTTGGGGGTACATTTACATGTCTGAGCATAACAGAGGAGAACAAATGAAAACAAGAGACAGACCAACAAGAATTTGCAGCATTTCAACATGTAAAAAAATAAATTCAGGGTTATATATAGAGATAAAGCTGTAGTTGAAACTGCAAAAGTGTAAAACCAGCGACCATAACAGCCAGAATCCAGTATTGCATGGAGGGCAGTGACAATTTGAACCTTTAGATATTGCAGTTTCCACGAGAAACAGATCCTCTGGAAATGTTTGGGGTCCTCATTTCCTGCGGAATTGTCCTTGGAAGCATAATTTTCTGTTCTTAATCTCATGCACCTATCCTGTCAGGATCATCATCATCGCTCTGCAGAGGCAGAACCCATAGGATTCCAGTGGTTCCATTTCCATTCATGCCATGAAAGACCACAAAGCTTTTACAATAGGAGTGGGATAAAATGGGTGGGGCAGGAGCTGGAGGGATGGAAATCCATGGGGAGAGCAGAGGGGGTGTCAGGCACAAGCCCAAAGCAAAGCAATAAATCCTGCCAAGTGCATTTGTCCCTATTTCCCTCCTACCCAGGATGCCAAGGAAATGTATTTCTTTCATTATCCCAATTTCCCAGCCCTGTTTTAGCCTTTTCCAGGCTCCCAGCTCCCTTCTCTGGCAATTTGAGCAGGATTGGGGCAGTTTCCTCTCCCACTCCATGCTCCCAGGGCCACTCCAGCCCTGCCTGGTCCCAAACTGGAGGAACTCTCCCCAAACTGGGCAGCTCAGCACCCCCAGGCTGCTGGTCCTGCACTAAACCCCTGCATCCCCACAGCCCAATGACAGCACTTGGCATTCCCCTCTCCTTTTAGGCACATTTTCCCCAATAAAACATTCTGGGAGCTTTTCCTGGTGCTGTTCCTGGCTCAGCAGTGGCTCAAGGGATGTGGTGCAGCAATTCCCTGCAGCCTCCAGAGCTCTGGCTCCCACTGCTCATGTCCCTCTCTCAAGAGCAGGCAGCAGCAGGGCTGTCCTTTATTTCTTGCCACCTGTATTGAGCAAAAAAAGAAATATTTATTAATTATATTATATATTATATATATTATATTATATTATATTATATTATATTATATATATTATATATATTATATATATTATATATATTATATATATTATATATATTATATATATTATATTATATATTTTACATTAATTATATAGTATATATTATATAGCAATTATATATTATATATTAATTATATTAATTATATTATATATATTACATTACATTATATTATATTTATCAAAGCAAACAGCATTGAACAGACTTCAGTTAAAGGAGTGAATATTCAGATTATACTGGGATGTATTTTTTCCCCGAGGTGTTGGCTGGTAAAAAAATAACTTCCCCAGCATTGAAATGTCCTGAATTTCTATTGGAGGATTTCATTCTGGATCAGAGAGCTGTTTTCTCAATTTAGGTTGTTGCACAAATGTGTTATTTTGTTATCTCATTTATATAAACTTGTGAGAAAGAGAATCCTACATTCAAAATATATAAGTTGCAACACTGCATAACTATTTACGATTACATTTGTCTTTATCCTTCTGCCTCAAATGAAGTTTTGTTATCTAAGCTCTTCAGTGAGCAGTTCCTACACTTCTAACACTAAGGCATCTTCTATTTAATCTGCAAATTGATGCCCAAGATCAAATGCTCTTTTCCAGGAAATGTCTTTGGGACTGCAGTGAAGTTCTAACAACCCCTGGCTGTTGTTTTCTGCAGCACTGAGTACATGGTGATTTCCCCCTTTTTGGGCTGTATCACACACAGAAATGTGGATATAAAATTAAGTCCAGAGCCATGAGCTATGAGAAATACAGGGCAGTTCCTAATAAAACACTGAACTGGGACAGCATTAATTTGTTAAAATAAAGACTCAGGATGCCTCTGGCCCTGTGAGGATGAAGAGCAGACAGACAGCAGCTGTTTACCCTCCCATTGGCACAGAAATCCCAGCCCAGGTGCCAGCAGAGCCTGCAGTGTGCAGGAACACAGAACTCAGGTGTGTTTGTGCACAGGCAGAACACAGGTGTGTGTGTTTGTGCACAGGCAGAACACAGGTGTGTGTTTTTGTGCACAAGCAGAAACGGGGGTGTGTTTATGTGCAGAAGTAGGATCACAGGTTTGTGGTTTTGTGCCCAAGAAGAGCAGAAGTGTGGTTTTTTTGCACAAGCAGGAGCACAGTGTGTTTTTATGCCCAAGCAGCACCCAGGTGTGTGTTTGTGCCCAAGCAGAGCACAGCTGTGTGCTTTGTGCCCACAGAGAACACAGGT